GTGTAAGAAATAATCCAGGGAGGTCCTGGGCACCTTTACTGAGTTTCCCCAGTGGTGATGTTTCATAACACTGGATCACAGTGTCACAGCCAGATACTGACATGGACACAGTCCAGATCCAGAATATTCTGTTTACGCAGGAGCTGTTCTGTCGTCCTTTTCTTTTTTTTTCTTTTTTTTTTTTCTGAGACAGAGTCTTGCTCTGTCGCCCAGGCTGGAGTGCAGTGGCGCGATCTCCGCTCACCGCATGCTCCGCCTCCCGGGTTCTCGCCATTCCCCTGCCTCAGCCTCCCGAGTAGCTGGGACTACAGGGGCCTGCCACCACGCCCGGCTAATTTTTTATATTTTTTAGTAGAGACGGGGTTTCACCATGTTAGCCAGGATGGTCTCGATCTCCTGACCTCGTGATCCGCCAGCCTCCACCTCCCAAAGTGCTGGGATTACAGGCGTGAGCCACCACACCCGGTGTGTTGCCCTTTTCTAGCCACACCCTCCTCCCTCCTTACCCCACGCCCCGGTGTCCCCTGGCAAACACTTGTTTGTTCTCCATTTCTATAATTTTGTTATTTCAAGAATGTTGTATAAATGCAACTGCACGGCGTGTAACCTTTTGGGATCGAAGGGGCTTTTCTTTTGTTTGTTTTTGAGACAAGGTCTCTCTCTGTTGCCCAGGCTGGAGTGCAATGGCCCAATCACAGCTCACTGCAACCTCAGCTGACCTGGCTCAAACAATCCTCCCACCTCAGCCTCCCAAGTAGTTGGGACTACAGGCACACGCCACCAGGCCCAGCTAGTTTTTGTATTTTTTGTAGTGATGAGGATCTCCCTATGTTGCTCAGGCTGTTCTTGAACTCCAGGTTCAAGCGATCCTCCTGCCTCAGCCTCCCACAGTGCTGGGATTCCAAGCATGAGCCTCTGCACCTAGCCTGGAAGGTTTTCACTCAGCACCTTTCTCCGGAGGTTCCTCCAGGCCTTTGTGGGGATCGTTTGTTCCTTTCCGCTGCTGAGTAGTATTCTGGGTGTGGATGGACCACACTGTTTGACGATTCAGGGGCTGAGGGACGTCTGGATTGTGTCAGGTTCTGGGCAGCTTGCTGTGAACATTCACTGACTGGCCCTTCCTTTTGCCTTCTGTGCAGAGGGCCCGAGTAGTCCCTCTGGTTAGATAAGGCAGACACAATGTCCCAATACATAATTTAACAGGTTCTTTGCAGCCTGGAGACGATGTAATGGGTTACCAGGAAAAATCATTTGAGTTCAAGTTCCAGCAACTTTTCAAAAATAACGAAACGAAACAAAAAACACCCCAAATGCTGTCTCATGAAAAAGGGTACTAAACAAAAAAGAATGAACATCGATTCACAGGAATAGCATCATTTCACCATGATTCATTAAAAGAAAGTGCCAAACCAGTGTTTGTGCTGAATTCAAGCATTTTCTAAATTCCCAAGTGGAAAAAAAAAAAAATCTCTTATAGGTCTGCTCAGAGGAAAAATAGCTTAGCAGTCCACTTACTGCCCACGCACCAAGGGCTGCCTGGACCGGAGCCAGTGGGGTTGGAGGTGGGGACTCTGCCTTTGCCTCCCTCCCTCCAGAAAGAACATTCCCTAATGTGGGAGCCCGTCCAGCCGCGTAACACTGTGTCCACGTCTTCGGGAAGGGGAAGGGCTAGTGTCTGTCTTCTCAGAGCAGCAGGACCCAGTTGTCTGTGAGAACAGAACAAAGACATAGGTATTCCTTGGCTTGGAGTCTACAGTTGGTATTGTCCGGATTTTTATTTTTTTATTTTTTGAGACAGAGTCTCGCTTTGTTCCCCAGGCTGGAGTGCAGCAGGGCAATCTCGGTTCACTGCAACCTCCGCCTTTTGGGTTCAAGCGATTCTCCTGCTTCAGCCTCCCGAGTAGCTGGGATTACAGGTGCACGCCACCACGCCTGGCTAATTTTTTGTGTTTTTAGTAGAGACGGGGTTTTACCATGTTGGCCAGGCTGGTCTCGAACTCCTGACCTCGTGATCTGCCCACCTCAGCCTCCCAAAGCACTGGGATTACAGGCATGAGCCACTGCACCCGGCCTCGTCAGGGTTTTTAATTATAAACTTCAATTTTAGCGATTTGAGTGCACGTGAAGTGGCATCTCATTTTCATTTTAACTTGCATTTCCCTGATGTCTAATGAGCGCTGAGCGTCTTTTCCTGACATAACTGGTCCTTTCTGTCTTTGATTCTTCTGTTGTTCTTTCCCTGCCTTCTTTTGGATTAGTCAGATATTTTCTATTATTTCATTCTCTTTTCTTTGTTGGCTTCTTAGCCAAACCTCTTTTGTTCATTTTTTCCCTAGTGCTTTTTCTCTAGGGCACTGACCATGTATGCCTCACACACCAAATTTAATGTAGGGTCAGTATTGTATCACTTCAGTCTTCCCTCTTCATACATAACCCTTCGCATCTTGCACCTCACACCTGGAGTTCCACACTTCACCAGTGTGCAGAGCTTATCAGTGGATGACCTCTCTCCACCCATCCTTTATGCTGTCCTTACCGTACCAGCAACAGAGTGGGTCCCTCTCTCTACAAAAAAAGGAAAAATTAGCCGGGCGTGGTGGCACTCACCTGTGGTCCCAACTACTTGGGAGGCTGAGGTGGGAGGATCACTTGAGCCCAGGAATTCTAGGCTGCACTGAGATATGATCAAACCACTGCACCCCAGCCTGGGTGACAGAGCAAGACTGTCTGAAAATGAAACAAAACAGAAAGGCCTTTCCTGCAGCACTGCTGGACTTCCAGTCTTTGTGCCATCCTCAACTCTGTAACAGCTACTTCCTGGTAAACCCATGGAGTCATCCCACACGGGTAGTCCAGCCTAGGCCAAGGATTTTCAGGGAACCCTACACTGACTTCTGGCTCCCCACTTCTGCTAAGTTTCTTCCCCTCCAGTGCCCTGTTTTGCTGGCCTGCCACTTTAGCTGCCCGGAAGTCTGGTCTCTTGCCTCTCACACCATTACAGCGCACCACACTACACTACGTTCATGCATTTAGCAGCTGTGTTCACACTCCAACTATCTCATATACATATTTTGTTAAAAAAAACTTCAGGACTCTCTACACTTATGATGCCAAGGGTGAAGTTAAGCCCTGGAGACTGAGTCAGTAGCAAGTTTGCAATTCTGCTTCTTCGATTACAGTTTCATGCTCTTCCTCCTTGTTCTTGAGCGGAATTGTCTTCCCTATTGTTCTTGTTCTGTAAATTAGGGTTCTCCAACCCCTAGGGCCACAGACAGCTACTGGTCAGGCCACACAAGCAGGTGAGCCTCGGGCCAGTGAGCAAAGCTTCATCTGTATTAACAGCCGCTCCCCATCGCTCGTATTACCGCCTGAGCTCTGCCTCCTGTCAGGTCAGCAGCAGCACTGGATTCTCCTAGGAGGGTGAATCCCATCGTGAACTGCACATTGGAGGATCTGGGTTGCTCGCTCCTTATGAGAATCTAATGCCTCATGATGTGCCCCTGGCTTCCATCATCCCCAGATGTGACCATCCAGTTGCAGGAAAACAAGCTCAGGGCTCCCACTGATTCCACACTATGGGAAGTTGTATTTTACTCTATATTACAACATAAAAATAATAAAGTGCACAATAAATGAAATGTGTTTGGATTATCCTGAAACCACCCCAACTATGTCTGGAAAAACTGCCTTCTATGAAACAGGTCCCTGGTGCCAAAAAGGCTGGGGACTGCTGCTGTAAATGACTAAGAGAGACCAGGTCTCCCCCTTTCCATTTGCTGATTTTTGTTACAGATTAGCTGTCTGCTTCATTTCCTGTACCCAACTCAGACCCGAGTACAGAGACCCCACGACTGTTTCATCGTCAGTGGACCCCAAAAGAAAAAGACCACCTCGACTAATCAGACCGTTGTAACTATGCATTAGGCCTTATACAGAAAGATGTTGAAATTGTTAGGCTTCCCGAAACGTTGGCTATAGAAACGACCCCAAATTTCTACGTTTGAGAACACTGACTTCCATTCTTTGTAATGTTTGCTGGGCGGCACATCAAGCTGCGCATTTGACTAAACTCTAGATTCTGACACTTTTGATGATTTTTGGTGGACAATTTTTGTCATTTTATTCGTACATGTTACCTCAAACCCAGTTTATGGCTGGGCATGATGGCTCACGCCTGTAATCTCAACACTTTGGGAGTTTGAGATCAGCCTGGGAAACATAGTGAGACCCCGACAAAAGAAAAGAAAAGAAAAAAATTAGCTGGGCGTGGTGGCTGGCTGCCCCCGTGGTCCCAGTTACCGGGGGGCGGGGGAAGGGGGAGGATCGCTTGAGCCTGGAAGGTCGAGGCTGCAGTGAGCCGTGGTCCCGCCATTGCACTCCAGCCTGAGCAACTGAGCGAGACCCTGCTCCAAAGAAAAAGGGAAAGAAACACCCGCCCCCGCCATTTACGTGCACAGGAAGTCCACGGGCAGTTAAGTGTAAGGTTTATTTTGTGGTATTCCAAAAGTTGCCCCGCCGCCTGCCCGTGCAGGCACGGCCGGGGGCCAGGTCCCCACAAAAACCTGTGCAGAGTGAGGGAGACAGGAAGAGCGCAGCGGCAGGCGGAAGGCACGCGCCGGGGACACTCAGCGGCGAGGGCCTGCGGGAGCCTCCAGCGCGAGAAGGGGCCCGGTCGCAGGGCAGCGACCGCGCCGCAGGACGCCCGAGCTGCCGGGAGAGCGAGGGCCGCGAGACCCGCGTCTCCAGTCCGGGAGCATCCAGGCTCGCTCACCGTGCGCGAGGCCCGCCTGCGGAGTCCTCGGCGCAGCTCTGGCGCAGGGCCCCGCGGGGCGCCCACTGCCGAGGGAGGAGGAAGGACGCGTCCCGGGAGCCCCACCCCGCCTCCCACTTCCAGCCTCCCGGTCCCCGCGCGGCCTGCCCGGGCGCCCTTCCGTCGGAGGCCAGGCGCCGCGAAGGCCCGCCCCGTGAGGCCTCGCGCGCCCCGGAAGTGGTCATGCCGCGGCGCCGAGGCCGGAAGTGGCCGCGGCCGGCGGCAGCGGGCGGCAGAGGAGGTTCGACCGGCTCTGGAGCTGCCTAGCGCGGCCGGGCGGGCGGCGCCGCTCAGGCTCGGGCTCGGGCTGGGCCCGGCGCGGCCTCGGGGCTGCCCATGGGGCGCGGGGGGCCGGGCCGGTGACGCCGGACGCCCATGGACGCCTCTGAGGAGCCGCTGCCGCCGGTGATCTACACCATGGAGAACAAGCCCATCGTCACCTGTGAGTGCCCGGAGGCGGGGAGGGCGCGGCGGTCGTTGGGCTGGCACGGGCTCCGGCCGTCATGCACCCGGCGCCCCCAGACCTTCAGTTCCCGGAGCGCTTCGGGCTGGGCCGCTTCCTGGAGGTGTGACCGGGGCTGCGGCTGAGGCGGGGCCCTCCGACTTTTCGGTGACGCCCTCTGACCTTCCCGCCGGGCGACCTCTGACCCCTGGGGGCACCCTGCGAGCCGGCTGCAGTTGGAGCCGGTGGAACCCGGCGGACTCTGCCCGGGACTGGGCGCGCTCCGGCGTCGAGGGTGAGGAGAGGGGGCTGCCGCCGCCCCGTCCCGCCCCTGTTGAGCCGCGCACCCGGGACCTGGGGGCCCCGGGCTTTTCCGCCGGGCGGTTTTCCTTGCGGGCCCCCTTTCCCCGACTCCGGGGAAGTCCTTCGGGGCTCGCAGAGTTGCAAGCGTTGGTGAAGCAGGAACAGTTTGTTGCGGGGTGAAGCGTCAGGCAGAGCCGCCGGGACTGCTTTGCCTCCTTGACGCTTTCCTGCCGCGCACTCAAACCATTTTATGGATGAGAAGGCCGAGGCTCGGGCGCTTATGCAAGCTGCTCTCCATGAACGGCCTCCCGCTCGAGTCTACACTAGGGACACCCGGTGCCTCTTGGGTGTCGTGTCCTCCCCCCAACCCTCTTTTAATGCATACACAAAGGAACTATTTTTCTGTTAGGGGAAAAATATTCCCTAAATTTTACAAGTGTGACTCTCCGGAGTTAAATACGGTTAAGAACAGTGAGCTTATAAATGTTGGTTGGCTTTTTGATGACTTGCAGAGAGGTGTTTCAAACTATTACGATTTTTGACCTTTGACAATATTCTGTATTTTCATGCATGTATGCAGTTAGTTTTTTCTAATTGCCTTTCATGCTTTGAAAGGAAGCACTCCCTATTGCAAAATCTAGGTGCCAAGGCCACAGTAGAGTATGTCGTGAGAACTCCTGTTTCCTTCTCGCTCTGTCAGTGGGGATGCACCTGCTCTGTTCCTTCCTGTTAGATCCCTGAGAAACTGTATATTTAAGGTTGAATTTTGTTGCTTCAGCTTTAGATGATAGACTTCTTTCTTTCCTTCCTTTTACTTTATTTTTTTCTCTTCCCCTCTCCCTCTTTTTTTTCTACGGAGACCTGGACAAGATAATAGACTTTTCTTAGGGAAGTGAACTGTGTCTCATTTAAAATTGGAGACTTGCATAGTTCAGCAGTAGCCGTCTTTTTTCCTTCCCAGAGTATTTGTGAACTGGAGGTCTTTCCCTACCCTGCACCTGCAGCCCCAGAGGGCAGATGTGGATAGAGCTGGTCTGGAAGCCCTGCAGTTTCCCGGGTGCTTTCCCAGTGCTGGGGATAGATGAAGCCATGTGCAGTTCATACTAAGTTTCACTGTCTTCCAGATGTTGAACGTTTTTCTCCCGAAGTGCTGTGCACATTGTGAGTGCTGGATACATATTAATTGCCTGTGTGGACATCCACGCATCTAATTATATCTTCTACCTCCTAGCTTGCTTACATTTCAATAGCAATATGTATTTATAGGCATTATGTAAATACATTTCTGAGGAGAAAGTTCCTAAGTTCTATTGGATTCAACCGTAACTAAAGGAGTAAAATTTGTTATCTCGATAGTCAGTGTTGGAGATATTTAATGTTTAGTTTTGTACATGCGTGCATCAGGGACAGCTAAAGGATGCAGTTTTCTTTCTTACAGATTTATTGGATTGTCATCTTGGTGGAGGTTTTTTTCCTGTGTTTTGAGCAGCAGAGTGAATGGTTTTTTGTTTTTTTTCTTCTTCTTCTTTGAGTTGGAGTCTTGCTCTGTCACCCAGGCTGGAGTGCAGTGGCATGATCTTGGCTCACTGCAACCTCTGCCTCCCGGGTTCAAGCGATTCTCCTGCCTCGACCTCCCGAGTAGCTGGGATTACAGGCGCATGTGGCCACACCTGACTGATTTTTTTTTTTTTTTTTTTTCCCAGTAGAGACAGTTTCACCATGTTGGTCAGGCTGGTCTCGAACTCCTGACCTTGGGTTATCCACCTGCTCAGCCTCCCAAAGTGCTGGGATTACAGGTGTGAGCCACCACCCTCGGCCTCCAGCAGCATAGTGAGTGTTAATCTCTGCACGGATACTACACCGTCTTAGAAGGTGCAAACTGTCATTCATTGGAGTCTCAGAAGAGAAAAGGCTTCAGTAGACTTTCAGAGTTAACTAGTTAACTTGAAAGATGATCACTTTACAAGTGAAGGTTTTTTTAAAAAAGCTGACTTCATATTTCACACTTGAAATTATGTTGTGGTATAGCTGGGACTGAAGCTTTTGGAAGCATTTGGCCTGGTTTCACTTCATACCTTCATCTTGCTCCCCCCTTTCAGCTATACATGTTTTGAAAGAAGGTAGTATGAACAGTTGCTTTCAAAAATCCACCTAGAGGCTAATTAACTCTTAACTTTTTACTATTATATACATAGTTCTCTTAGTCAGCAACATTTTTGTTTTCAAAAACCTTTTTAATTTTTTTTTTTTTTTTTTTTTAAGACGAAGTCTTGTTGCCGAGGCTGGAGTGCAGTGGCGTGATCTCAGTTCCTGCAAGCTCTGCCTCCCGGGTTCACGCCATTCTCCTGCCTCAGCCTCCAAAGTAGCCGGAACTACGAGCGCCCACCACCACACCGGCTAATTTTTTGTATTTTTAGTAGAGACGGGTTTTCACTGTGTTAGCCAGGATGGTCTTGATCTCCTGAACTCGTGATCCTCCCGCCTCGGCCTCCCAAAGTGCTGGGATTACAGGTATGAGCCACTGTGCCCGGCCAAAAATCTTTTTAATTCTCACTTGAAATGTTATTACCTCAGATCTGTTCATTTTAAAATGAAAGTAGAGTTTATGCATGTTGTTGAATTTTTTTTTTTTTTTTTTTTTTTTTTTGAGATGGAGTCTCGCTCTGTCACCCAGGCTGGAGTGCAGTGGCCGGATCTCAGCTCACTGCAAGCTCCGCCTCCCGGGTTCATGCCATTCTGCTGCCTCAGCCTCCCGAGTGGCTGGGACTACAGGCGCCTGCCACCTCGCCCGGCTAGTTTTTTTGTATTTTTTTTTTTTAGTAGAGACGGGGTTTCACCCTGTTCGCCAGGATGGTCTCGATCTCCTGACCTCGTGATCTGCCCGTCTCGGCCTTCCAAAGTGCTGGGGTTACAGGCTTGAGCCACCGTGCCTGGCCGAATTTTTTTTTTTTTTTTAATAGAATGTCTAATATTTTACTTCAGTGAAAATGCATTCTGCTTAGACCTTTCTGGGAAGAATATAGAATGTAACTGGTTCAGGTGAATTTAAAAACTGTTTATAGGTAGGGATAGAAGAATGAAAAGTTCCCAAAGATTAAGGGTAACTAGATTAGATTATTACTTTAAAACCTAGCTGATTATTTTGCTTCATTTTATTATTATTGTTTTTAGAGATGGGGTCTTGCTCTTTCACCTATAGGCTGGAATGCAGTGGCATGGTCATAGCCAACTGCAGCCTTGCTAGGCTCAAGTGGTCCCGTCCCTTAGCCTGCCAGTAGGCAGCACTACAGGTAGGACCCACCTCACCGGCCTGAATTATTTTAATAATATTTTGAAGCTCTCCAAATGGCTTTTTTTTTCCTTCCTGGGACAGAGTCTTGTTCTGTTGCCCAGACTGGAGAGCAGTGGTGTGATCTTGGCTCACTGCAGCCTCTTCCTCCCGGGTTCAGTCGATTCTCCTGCCTTGGCCTCCTGATTAGCTGGGACTACAGGGGCACACCACCAAGCCCAGCTAATTTTTGTATTTTAATAGCGATGCGGTTTTACCAGGCAGGTCTCGAACTCCTGACCTCAGGTGATCTGCCCGCCTTGTCCTCCCAAAGTGCTGGGATTACAGGCATGCGCCACTGCACCTGGCCTTAAATATTTTAGTAGACTTCAGCCCTGATTAAACCTCCTGCCTAACGGGCTCCTGTGAAGAGGGACTACCTCAGCAGAGGCCTTCTTAAACTCAGAACTAGTTAAAGCTTGTAAATACGGAAGCGTGTATGTGAAATGTGCAGGGATGGGAGCTGAACAGTTAGTGGAATTAATGCTTTGACTGAATCATAGCAATGGGAAAACCTGTAGTATAATTTATTAATCATGAAAAATGCCTGGCGAAACTGAAACAAATCCAGCAGATCCATTTGGTCTAAATTTAAATTTTAGCGTAGATTTTTTTTCAGCCACAGGGTCAGTTTTCCGTTTTGAAATAAGAACTTGGGTTTCTGGCCCAAGGGTGTATTAGGAAAGACATGTTCCTTTTCCAACTATCTCATTCAGTTAGTGACAAAGTTAATGTAATTCCAGTGATTTGTGGCTTTTCTTTGTTGACTGTCATCATAGCTACGATAGCACATACCCGTTATTACCTTGGAATTGAATAGTATCTGAACAATAATAGTGCCCTCCCTCTAGATCATCTGTTTTCACTAGTCACATCTATTGCCTGTTTCATTTTTCTGTGTCTCTGTATTTGGGGTTCCAGGTCCTATATTAGAAACTTTTAAAGGGGAAAACAGGCAACAGAAATGAGCAGATTTGTAGAGCTTCGTATCTGGTTGGGCTTTGGGATTTTCCCCTGTAGGTTAAAGTTTTTAAATTTGCACATTGAAACTTTCTACTAAACCTGAAAGTGTGGTGCTTGTGATTTAACCACCACCAGTTTTACTACCATAAAAGTCACTTGAAATGTCTGTTTAAATGGGTGAGCATATAATAAATGCAGATCTTGTTCCATATTGAATTCTCAAGGCGATGTTGAACCAAAGCTTGAAAAGTGGGAGGAACATTCTCCTTAGGAAACCTCGGTTGTCACATAGAGTATATATTTGGAGGCAGGGACTAAAGGCACTAACAAATGTGCTTACTATGTCATTTCTACCCGAGCATGGTTAAAAACCGTTCCATCTTGTGCGCATGACCTCAGTTCTTGC